ACATGTTCAGTCTATAGGTATGTGCGCAGGCACGTAGAGTGTTTCTTTACAAAGTGATATCGCCATCTACTGGCCTGGCATATATAATACAGCATTTTTGTCATTTTCGCAGATGTGTGAACAGGAAATGTTTCGACAACGTTGTTGTCTGTATGTGACGTTTTCAAAAACGCAAAAAGTAAAATCTTCTGTTTTAGTACATCGTTGTCATGTAAACGTATTCACATCTACATTTACTGTACAGTCTTGCGTAAAATATGTATCTGGTCTCAGACTTGATGTAGGAAAAAAAATTACAAAAATCTGCCCACGCTTCATGCTTTTTTCTAAAATTCATACATTTTCTTATTGTTTTTCTTATGATTTACAATATCCGTGAGATTGGGTTGGAACTACACTTTAAAGAAAATCTGAAATTTCTTGTAACATTTCATTAGTATTCTTGGGATAAATCTATGATGGTATTTAGCAGAGTGAGATATTGCCGGTCATCCATCGCTAACTGACCTAATTTACTGTAGGTGCCACGATTCAGTGTTTAATCCATCTGCTCCGTGAGCTGATGTTTAGAGTAAGACAGCCTCAAATCCTATTGGTTGGTTGAACAAATAATGCTACAATGCTTGCGGCCCAGCCTGCTCTCTGACCTTTAACGCGATGCTAATTGGCAGCCAGAGATTAAACATTCAAAACATTCAGAGTATTCCCATAAATAACAGCTCCAGGAAAAACTAATTGCCTGGATAATTCCAGCTGACTTCAGCTCACGAGTTTCTGACGCTCTTAAATATTCCTCCCTGATCCCTTCTGACAGACTGAAGAGAAACACGCCAACAAGACACTCTGGCTGGCATGATCAGAACATTTATATGTGTTTGTGCACCATCTTTATATGATGTAAAGAGGATAATCTCAAGTGGAATGAGCAGATATCAAAGAAAGACGCGATATTAAAGTTGTGTACTAATTTTCATTTATAATATGCACTGTAATATAATATATATATACATATATATATATATATATATACATACATACAATTTCTGGATAAATCTGTTTTGTTTTGGACTAAAATGAACTATAAAACAGAGCAATTTCATATTTCTTTCTCTCGTTTTCACTTTCCAAAAAAAGACAAAATGATCACAAAATGAAAAGTAAATGTACATCAGATGTGTGAATGATGGATTATTTACATTTATGTTCTTTGTGCTGAATGATGGGAAACGTAGTTTTACATATTCGTATTACTATTATGCCTTGTCATGTTATTTTCAGCATACTATGATTGGGTACGTGCTAAATCTAATCTCACATGCTAAACACATAGAACTAAATAGAATGTGAATTGGGATAGAAATGGATGGATGGAAATAACACCCTCCACGCTCCAAGTATGAATAAAATAATCCGAAACTTCAACACGTCTGATAGCCTACTGTTTGAATATTAGTCTGACCCCGATGTAAATGATGTTACGGTCTTAAGTACAAAAAAAGCTAAATATAATTTTAAGGCCAGAAAGAATCCTATATGCAGTGTAATAAATTAATTCGACAACCCCATCTTTAGCGCCGACCATTTTTAGGCAACTGAACCGAAGCATAGTGCATGATGCAAGTATGAAGCAAAGATAAGAAAAACTGCAATATTTCTCTCTTTTATTTAACAGCAGAGCACTGTGATTTCCAGCTGAATTCGTCTTCCAATTTTCTCTCAGACCTTGCTCATCAATCCTGCTTTATTCAGGACTGTGTTCACACCACCTGTGGCAGCTCATCTCAGCCCGTCTCCAGGGTTATGAGCGAATCCACTGCAATCAAAGCCATTAAAATGCAGTGTAATAAATTAATTCGACAACCCCATCTTTAGCGAAGCATAGTGCATGATGCAAGTATGAAGCAAAGATAAGAAAAACTGCAATATTTCTCTCTTTTATTTAACAGCAGAGCACTGTGATTTCCAGCTGAATTCGTCTTCCAATTTTCTCTCAGACCTTGCTCATCAATCCTGCTTTATTCAGGACTGTGTTCACACCACCTGTGGCAGCTCATCTCAGCCCGTCTCCAGGGTTATGAGCGAATCCACTGCAATCAAAGCCATTAACTGCAGCCTGCTTTCATCAAGCTAAACGCTGGTAATAAACCACGACCTGCGAGAAAAATGCAGCACTCATTTGAGGAGAGCTAGGCTGGCTCTATGCAGAAAATAAAGTCATTTCTGGGTTACTATGTTGAGTTTTTCTTTAATAACTACCAAAAAATGATAAAATGGTGGCAAATGAGAACCATTAAATCAAATTTACATGAGGTAGACCACATTAACATCCCATATTACTTCTGTAATATGACTCATTTCTGTGAAACTGGGCATTAAAGGGGAAAAATATTTCTCAGGATGTTTTATCTATTGGTTTAATAAGAAGGACCGATGTCAATGGGAAAGGAAGTTATTTCGTTTTAACGAATGATTACTAACATGCACAAAGTAAACGCTCATAAGAAGATCTGAAACGCGCATTAAGAAAAATGCAAGAAGCTTGTGAATAACAAACACTCTTGACACTGTGTGAAGAATGTCCAAGTTGGAGTTTATTCAGTGCATGGTGCTATGTTGTACATTTGTCTTTTTTTCAGTGATGGCAAAAGAAAAAGGGGTGTGATGAGAAGAAAGAGAACCTCTGAGGACAAACGTATGATTTGTTTATTTTCTTCACCCCAGACTAGCATAGGAAAGGAGTGCCACAATGAAGAAAACAACACACTGAACGAACTACAACACCTCGGTCTGTACAGGATACTATCTGAACTAATATAAAAGCGCAACATTTTAAAATAGACATTTAAAAACTGGACGTGCTGGACTTGTCAGTTTGACGTGGGGCAGTATGTGTTACGCCACCGGCAGTGTTGATGCACAATATAAAATCCTCAAATTCCCACTTTGATTTTCTAGAATTGAATTACCGCTCCAGAACTGTCAGTCGTGACCTTAAAAGTCAATCCGAGGCATTTGAATGTCTCACTGAATGACTGAGATTCATTTTCATTTGCTGTAGAATCCGCCTGATTGCTTTCAGATTCAAGCTCGGCACAATTAATTATCATAATTGCTAATTAGCTCCATTCCTGACTAATTGATTCCAATGGATCTAAAACCAGGTTGTGTGTGGATGCTCGTTTTGAAGGCTTTGCAGATCTGCTATAGACCTCATGGGTAAGAACATACTGCCCCCTCTAGTAGAAAAGTAGAAATATACTGAAAATGAGCAAAGTTATCCCTGCAAATCCCATTTAAAAACTGGGAGGAGCTGGTGTTGGGATTCCGGATCTAATACAAAAACATCAAAGCTGCATTTAAGAGAGCAGGGCATCTAAAATGCAAAGTACACACACAAACGAGAAACAAAGCTGATGAAAATAAATAGAAATATCATAGAGTGTAGTTTCACTACAATACCCCACCCCATCTTCATCGGACCCCCAATCCATGATGACACAGGACGACGTTACCAACGAAACAAAAGAGGAATTATACAAGCCTTCAACAAATATGCAAAGTAACTTTAAAACACAAGAGAACATCTGAAATTGCTCCAGCATTCTGAATGGAAATAACACTTTCTTTTTACACAGAGAACAAAATAATACTTTCACATTTAAGAGGAACATAAAATATGGGACTTTACAACAGGATGGACGTCTGGACTAAGAACAGCTCACCCAAAAATCTCAATTGACTCATGTTTTTCCAAACCTTTCTTTCTTCTGAGGAATTCAGATGTTTAGCAGAATGTTCAAGCTTCTCTTTCCATACAATGAAAGCAAAAAGGGTTCCAAAAGTTCCAAAAATGAGCACTATAAAAGTGTCAAAAAAGCAGTCGTGTACCATAATCAAAGTCCTAGGACATCATATGATGGTTTTAAGGATCAATTGCCATTTAATCACTTAAATCTTCCCCTGCAATGCTCAAATCTTATTTGCATGTTCAAACATTATCTATGTTAAACCTGTCAAATTTGAATGCATGTGAACGGAAATTAAATTATGGAATTATAGAACTCAAAGGAATGGTTCATCAAAAATTCTATCATCAATTTAGTATGACTTTCTCTTGTGTGGAACGCAAAAGATGATATTTTGAAGAATGTTGGTAATCAAACAGTTTTGGTGACTGTTGATTACCAAAAATCCTCAAAATATCTTTCAAAAAGGTAAGTCATACAGGTTTGGAACGACACTGAGTAAATGATGACAGAATTTTCTTTTTTTGGGTGAACTATCCGTAAATTTAGGTCTTCCACTTTCTTGAAAAAGAATGGGAAAGAGCAGTGTGAACATTCTGCTAAACTTCTCATTTTTTTTCGTTTCATGGAGAAAAGAAAATCTTAAAATGTAGCTTTTGCATCACTAAATGACGAATTTGAATTTTGGGTGGGTGGCCATCCCCTAATTGCAATCCCAGATAATTGCAAACATATTAAATACATTTAAAAAAATCAACAACAAAATGGCACTTTAGAAAATTCCCGCCGCCCAGTTGTTATAATGTGAACTATCCCTTTGGAATCCACCCTAAAAATACCATATGAATTTGAGACAAAAATTTGCTCTTTAGCCACTGTTTTAGAAAAGGATTTTGTAACATGGTTCAGTCCGTCATGGAATGTCTTTGACGTGGTGGAGGTCAGGCAGGTTTTTTGAAAAAGTCTGCCCGAGGTGTTGAGAAGTGGTCTTTGAATTCTGCTTGTGGACGCTGCACAGGAGTAGCTGCTGGACGCTCAGTTTGCAGTATGAGTAGCTTGAGATCTGACAGATGTTTAGGGTCTGGAAAGTGGTGTCTCAGACGGCAATGACTGGGTGAGACATGTGCTGCTACAGGAAGTGTTTGTCCGTTAGGGGAACTCGTGGGTTGATGGGAAGGGGCTGGTTGTGAGGGATCTTGCGTTGTTTTTTCACATTCATAAACCCGACTGGTCTCGTTTTTTTCCCCCTGCATTGATGTGAGATCAAAGTCTAATCAACAATCATGCAAGACAAACAAAACAGGACAGCATTTCTGGTAGAGCAAAAAGTAAACAATCCCACGGGTCACAGAGTCAGTGATGACAACCGGGATGGCCTGCGGCATGCAGACCTGAACGACATGGAAATAATGGTGGATGAGTGAAAGAAAGAGAAGCAAACATTGACGGGGCAAATGGGGTGAACTGGGTCTCTGCACGCACAACACAGGGCACTGTGGGAACAAACTAGCAGGGCAGCATTACCCATTATCCTCTAGGAGCTCTGTGTCTGTATACATACCATCCTGACAGCTGGTTAAACAGCACCAGACGCCCAGTGCCTCACACAAACACACTAAAAGGCCTAACAGACTTGTTTTTCATTTTTATTACATATATTTTTGTAAGCCAAGTTCTACACAGTCAAAACAAGAGATCAAAAGCAATCTAAACTCCAAACATTCTGTTGATTCTTTTATTTATTTAAATGTTTTGAAAATTTTGGGGTGGGATAAATGATTCTGGAAACAAAGTGTTGGTCTTTATCAGTGTTGTTTTTGTCAACTAAAAGTAAAACTATTTGGTTAATAAAAAAAAAAAAAAAGCTGAAATAAAATAAAATTTATTTTAAACTAAAAAAAACTTAGCAATAAAAATAAATGTTAAAGTACTAAAATTACTGAAAAAAAATCTAAAAATAGAAATAAATATATATTAAAATAAATATTTAAACAACAAAAAGTAATAAAAATGACAAAAGCACAACAAAATTGCTAAAAAAAGAAAACTGAAAATATTAAATAAAGGCTAATACAATTTTTTTTGTGAATGCTATAGTGTATTTAAAAAAAAATGCTTAATAGCATACTAAATAGCATACTAAAATAGTTCTTCATGGCCCATAAAATTAGTAGTAAGTAGTAATTTAGTAAAATAAATTTATTAAAATTTGTATAGGTGGCATTAACAACACTGAATATTAATATCATCTAATTATCTAATATCTAATAAATTTGAATATTAAATTAAATTCTGCATCTTCGTTGCCACCTCAATTGAAATTCTGGAGCTGAACTGGGATGTCACCGACCTGCTACAAGCATGTATAACGGCTGTAAATATGGCAGTATTAGAGTGCTTTCTAAGGGACTGAGCTTTTTATTGGAGCACAGTTAATGGTGACAGTAAATCATACAGTTTAAGTGTCTGTGTCTAATTCTCTGAGGTTCTCCTTTAGGACTTCTTTCTGTTGGTATGAGGTGTGCTACGGAGGGTTTCCATCGTTACCATCTTATTCAGGGATCTTGCTTTATTTGTAATGGTAAGCCTGCAGTATTCCTCAATTTTGAAATCGAAGAATTTTTAAAAAGTCAAATTGTAAAAATTTTAAAAGACAAAATCTCAGAAATGCTGTAATGGGTTTAATGTATCATGGGAGATGGTGTGGCTGTATGGCCCAAGGGAGAAAAGATTTAAACATATGCCATAAACACATCAAACTCTAGTGCTATTAGAGCCACACTAAGAGCCGCAGAGAGCGAGAAGACACAATCATTGATATAATAATGTATTTGTGCAGCAGCAATGCTGGTAGAGGTGCAATAGTGAAAGGGAAGGCAGAGTATGGTAGGGTGACCATACGTGCCATTTTCCCAGGACGCGTCCTGGCCAGGATTTCTATATTGCTTAAAATATCTAGGTTTTGGCTTTGTTTGCGTGTGCAGACCGATCGGTGTATGACATCAAAATACCTCGAGAGCATTTTGAAAGCATAAGGAACCGTCTGTATGGTATTTTGATGTCATACACCGATCGGTCTGCACACGCACACAAAGCCAAAACCTAGATATTTTAGGCAATATAGAAATCCTGGCCAGGACGCGTCCTGGGAAAATGGCACGTATGGTCACCCTAGAGTATGGGATGAAATCATAGATCTGAAATGTATATCCTAAAACAGAGGTCAGCAATCTTTTTGACATGAAATCATCTTGAAATCACTTTGACACCCTCACAATTAAATACATTATCCATTTCTATGTGGAAAATAAAGTGAAATTCACTAAAATGAATTTCTACACATTTAAAAAAAATTGATTTGAAAGAAGCATGCCTAAAGTTGTTTTTGCACTTCAAATAAAGCAAGAAATCCAGAACTGTAGTTTATTTTTTTTCAGCCATATGAATAAAATATGCTCTAATTATACTGCAGAGGACATATGTAATCATGTGCACGTCTGCAGCGGATCTTATTTTGTAGATTTGCTGCAGTCACTTATCATTTTATCACTGAATATTCACAGCAGTCGTCTGTTAGCAGCTTTAATTCAAAATGAAAAATCAGTTGTTTTCTCACCTTATTTAAAGGGTAAAAAATAACATCATAATCATATTTTTTCAGGTTTTCGTCTTTTAGCAAACTGCACCTTCCAGCTCAGAATGCAGCACTTTCCTCTCACTCCTTTCATTTTTCCAGTGTTTGGCTTCTTCTATTGATCATAACTGAATAAAACATGCTGAGTGACGGCTAGAAAGCATTATCGCGAGATGTTTTTTTTTTGGCATGCAGATCACTTCAGTATTTCTAAAATTAAAAAAATGCATGTATATAATATTAATCTCTCTAGCTGTAATCGTTCATGTGCCGAAGCGGGTCTCATATTCAGTCAGGTTGTGTGGGAGGAAACTAACCTGTGTCTCACGCAGGAGTTACTCAGGGGTGATCTCTGTTTCCTGATGCACCACCACTTTAGTCACAGACATGTCAGGGTGCTGCTCCTTCGCCTCCTTTATAGCCTGAGCAAGAGCCTGGAGAGCCGAGAGGACAGTATTTAAACCAGACCACTAAACGTATTTCTGTCATGACAACTCTCGGAGGAATTGGCATGGTAATGTACATGACAATGTTGATGTATTTGGTCTTGGCTGAATAGATCTGCTACACTGCTGCAGTACAGAGTACCGAGTACAAGTACAGAGACTTGCTACTGCCAATACATCAACAACATGCTGCTGTGAGCATGTAAGAAATATTGCAGCTGCACATATAACATACATGAAATAACCCCCATATAGCGTACACGAATCACCTCGTAGCAGATCTATACAGGTGGAGCTGGGGAAGGAGGAGGGTTTCTGAAGCAAGCTGCACTGCTACGGCAAGCACTAATCATATATTTGAATGTTGAGCAGCGAGCTTATTGGCCACTGATACAGGAGAGAACCAATCAGCTGTGCCATGTGATAATGATGTCATTCGGTCAGACTGAGTTAGACCTATCGGACTGCGCCATCTAGAGTTTCATGCCAGAACTCTGTATCTCTGTATACGCCCCATGAAATCAAAACTGAAGTTTTGTAGCTTTTAATCCAAGCTTTGAGGTCTTATATATCTGTTATTCTGTTATTTTATGCATTTAGTTTTTCTCTTTCAGGAAAACAGACCAATACTGATGACATATTCTCCTTCTCCGAGCCTTTCGGACATTTTTATCCTATAAATCCTGTCTATGAGAATGTCTGTAAAACATTCTGCGTCTACTGTGTGGCCGACATGATTATTAGCTGTAGGTGCATTTCACCTTATCATGGTCAATCTCAGTGTCTCCAGTGATCACGATTCTCTTCTCGATACGGGTCTCTGAGATCCCGCCTTTCACCATCTGAGCAGAGAAAGGGAAGAGAACGAGAGAATGAGAGAGCCAGAAACACAGTGAAGTGAATATCTCATCTGTGCAGTACGCCAAATCTTCACTAACTTTGTAAGATGCTGTGGAATGGTGATATAAATTGTAATTAGCAATGGCTTTATCTTATATACGCAGCCTCTTGGCACCATTGTGCCCTAACTTGCAGTGTGCAGTATTGTATAGTTTTCTGCAATTATGTTTTGCAGAAAGTGCTCATCTTATTATTTTAAGTTTTACATTGTGCTTAAATAGGACCATTTAACATCAATCAGTTGTTCTTTAAGCAGCAGTCACTGCAGGTTTAGGCATAGCTTCATGTACCTTGGTGATCTGGGTGGTGGTGGTGGTGCTGACGGTCTCTGAGGTGATGGTCTGAGCACTCAACAGCATCCCGGACTCCTTCTCTGAAAGCGCGTTGGGCTATTAGCAAACAAACACACATGTGCTTAGAAATCTCTTCCATTACATCCCTCATTTATCACTTACTGTACATCCAAAGCCATTTCCTATGGAGCCCCAAAGGGGGCACAGTGACGGAAAACATTATAATTCAATGCTTTTGCATTTGCTTCTGGGTTCTCTCAAAGAATGTTTTGAGTTTTCCCACAAAATAACTGAAATATAGTTTTTTTCTCCCACATTCTCAAAAAAAAAAAAAAAGGAACAAAAGCTGTCCCCGGGGCAGAATCCTTTCAAAAGCTACACCTTTGTGCCTTATTTATCCCTAAAGGGTGCATGTAAAAACTTTAAAGGTATATATTAGTACATAAAGTGTATATTAGTACCTAAATGGAGTGCACGTCATATTATTTCCTTCAGCAGCTCTGCATTCACTAGCAGGAGGTTACGTTTCTCGAGAGAGCATAAAAGTTTTGCGAGGGAATGCAAAGTTTCTCAGGGAAGCGGTAAAATATAATAAATAATACATTTAATGTTTTCCCATCACCATGTTCCTTTAGGGTCTTTGTAATAATAATAAAAAAGCTTCCTACTAAAATAATCAGAAAT